AGGGCCGGCCCCAAAGATTTAATTTTTGATATAAAACTTACCAGTGCTATTCTTTCAAAGGGATCCCTTAAAGGGATTCTATAATAATCCTACAAACCAACGATTTCATATTCTTCATTCACAATTTTTTCCTAGCACTGAAACTACTCCCAAATTCCCTGCATATATAAATTAATACATTCTTATTCTAATATTACCTGGAAATACAAATAGTCTGAAATGAACCAATCCCACGTTTACTATCTCTTTCTCCCAAAAATCCCAGTAAACTGACAGAAACTTTTTTTAAAGAAATGCTTTGATAATTCACTGATTGTAGACATTTTATCTCACTGACAGCGGCGAAATTTTACCTTTTTTTAATTCCAAAAAAGTATTCATCATCCAGTTTCCACATGTGTGTCAGCTTCTACAACAACCGTATCAAATAGCCCTAGTGGCTAGGCTCTTTTTCACACGCCTTCAACAAATTTCTACTACACACTTCCTAGGGGCGGAGCGTCATTCTGGGAGCGGGGGTAGGGGAAGGATTAAAAAACAAATGAGATACAGACATACACACAATGAGCTTATAGTCTCGTGGGGATTAAATGGACATATACATAAATAACTATGATGTTATAATAGAGGCATAAGTTAAGCATTAAGAATTTCTAGAATGAGAAATATACATCTTTGGAGAAGAGAGAACAGGACAGAAACTTCCTGGATGAAGAGATATGTGATCAAACCCTCAAAAAACAGGCAGAATTTAGATGTGGAAGAGTAAGGTAGGGAAATAGGATTCCAGAAAAGAGTATAGTATAAGAAAAAAACAAACCTTCTCAACACAACACAGAACAGGCCTATTAATTACGAGCCCAAATGACATAAAGAAATATGTCATGCTTCAGTATTCACGTAAGGATATCAGTTTAAAAAGAATAATATGTTTTTTCCTTTCAAATAAATTTTATGGCATGAGTACCTATAGCAAACTAATATTCTACATGTGTTTTTCAACATAGCATTAAGAATACAGTTCATGTTCATGCTATTTATCTAAGCTTTTATATAACAATTGAAGTCTTTCATACATAAAAAAATTCAAAAGTTTGCGAGTAAGTGAAGCCAACAATAGCTAATCTATAAAACAATTTAACCTATCTGTTTGGGTCTCAGAGGTACCTAATCATTAGCATAACAAAATTTCCATCACTGTAATGCTTAAATCTCATGAAATGTCACTAGGTCCAGATAACTTCAATGACATTTTTGTTTAAGAAGATATTCATCATAGCCAATTAAAAATTAAGCAAACTAGGGGCTGGCCCCGTGGCCGAGTGGTTAAGCTTGCGCACTCTGCTTCGGCGGCCCAGGGTTTGACCAGTTCAAATCCTGGCCGCGGACATGGCACCGCTAGTCAGGCCACGCTGAGGTGGCATCCCATGTGCCACAACTAGAAGGACCCACGACTAAAAAAATACAACTATGTACCGGTGGGGCTTTGGGGACAAAAAGGAAAAAATAAAATCTTAAAAAAAAAAAATTAAGCAAACTAAATAATTCCCAGTGATCATCATATTAGTGATGTAAGTCAATACCAATTTTTTTCAAACTACATTTTCATTGCAGGAACTTAAAGTTAAGAAGTACCTTGAATTCAATACCTAAGCTGAATAAGCGATCTCTCATTCCTCATCCACCCCAAATTTTGTTTCAAGTAACTGTCAATCATCTCACTGGATCATCCCATGGATGATATGGTGTGATGGAATTAGAACTACACTGGAGGTCAGAAGATTAGATTCTGCTACTGCCCAACTCCAACAATTCAGGCAGATCACTTCACTTCTCTGACCCTCGGTTTATTCACCAGTAGAACAAGTAGGACTAGATAATCTATATGACTTCACATTCTATATTTCTATAAATTATTGGCATTTTAACCAATTTAGATTTGTTTCTGAGATCACTTTTAAGTAAAAATAACACCAGCACACATGGAAGAACCAAACTGAAGAACTCAACAGGAACGTTCAGCTGGCTTTCTATGGTCTCGCTTTCAGATGCAAAGAGGACACACACAAAAACAAGCATGTTGTATCTGAAGACTACCCAAGTAAGATTTTGACCACACAAGCTTCTGGGGCGGAAAAAATCGTAAAGAACAGTAAAAATGTTCAAGGAAAACCACCACCACAAGAACACCAAAATAGAAAACAGATGCTTTACATACAGTTATTGCTACATGACAGAAGCTTTTCATAGCTTTTCAATATTCCTAAGAAGTCTTAATAGAAAAAGAAAGTTTTCTTAACCATCTAAATGTCCTGTTTGCATCCTCAAACCTGAAAAGGGCAAAATATCAGGCAACCTATATACTCAGTTATTTGTGCACGTAACTGATCTGCTCAACTTTACACCTTTACTGCATTGAGCGATGTGCCCTGAACATAAAAAGCACTTCACACCAGTTGAACAAGTGAATGAACTACACACAAATCGCTAATCAACAAATAAGTCCATATATTATAATTCTGATCAACTGTATTCTAGTAACATCTAATAGCTGAAGTAAAAGAACAGTTGGAAGTAACTAAATATGGGAGCTCTCTATCATTCCCAGGCATCACTAAGAATTTGAAATTGCAAGTAAGATCACAAAATACAATTAAAACTGAATAACAAAACAAATGCACAAGAAACTGAGTAACAAATAGCCTGACATTTACCTACATCAATCTGTGGACTATTCAAAGGCCTTTGCTTTCTACTGCAGATAGCTATGGCAAGAAACTCTCACCACTTCACAAATTAAAAAAAAAAAGCCAAAAAGACCTTGACTAATCTCAATTTGCCCAGCATTAGAACTTTCGCTCAATTAAATGCAAAGAAACATAAGTCAATTTTGAGCATTTGTGTTTTAAAAAATTACGTGAGGCCAAATACTTAAGTTTTATTATATGATTAAATCCAACAAGATATCCAGTTAAAAATATATATTCCTCAGAGGCCATGGAGAGAATCACAGCTATATGGATTTGTCACAGCAGATAACAGTGTATTCTGATAAGCTGTAATGTGAATACGTTTTTCTGATTAGAATACAGTGTTTATTCGTTCAACAAACATCTGCAGTGTCAATATCCTACATAGAAAATAAAATCCTACACGATGCCTTAAACATAAAGTCAGAGAAAGGCTTATCCTGCCCTCAAGAGGAGATAAAACAGGTATATCAATACCTAAATACAAGGTAGAAAGTGTAAACGCCATGAGAAATGTGCAGATAAAGCACTTCAGGAGTGCAGAGGGAGCAGTTACTACCTCACAGAATTATAACCCTTTCGATCTGTTTAAGGCAATTTCATAACTCAACTCTCTTAGGTTCACAACAGCTAATCCTAGGAGAGCAGATGTTTTCCTACTATCACAGAGGAGGAAACTGAAGCACAGAAAGGTTGAGCATGTTCCAAAATGTCACAAAGTTAAAGAAAGAATCAGGACTCTGTATCATATTTTCTCTGGGGGAGTAGTTCAACATATGGCAAAGCTTTCGTAAAAGGAAAGAGTATTTTGGTATTGCAAGTAATCACATCCTTACGTTTGTATGCATGTTATGTGCATATTATTTATATGTAAGTGTGTATTAACCTTGATTTCCACTAACAGGTGTGCTTAAAGCAAGGCAAAGCAACTGTGTACTATAAATATTAAAATAACTAAATAAACTTCCGCTGGATTTTAACAATGAGAAAATACAATATTTCTTTCTCCAACAACTTGTTATTCCTTCTGTAATTTTTACCCATATCTAAACAAGATTCTAAAATCGGTCTGCTCCTCAGCCCAGGCAAGTTGATTTATCCAATAAATATCTCCATGGATACATTAAAACATTTTCCAAAAAAAATATTAAAAATTAAATAATGCCATCAACTCTCCAATTATCCAAGAGACAATCACATGTGACTCACCAGCAGCAGCTACCGATCAAGATATGTTGAACGAATGAATGAATATTTGTAGGCATTTTAAAATGCCGGGCCTGTTGCTCTTTACACAACGTTCCGCCTCCCATCACTGCCTCACCAGAGTGCACACAAGGAACGTAAATTTTAATACAATTAGGATCTAACTAGGGAAGCAAATCTGATGCAGGTGAATATACTAATCCCAAAGATTAGAATTACCCATACCACTACTCTTCAAGGTTAACTCTGTTGAAGTGGCACTGTGGCATGCCACATTGGTAAAAGAAAACTGACACCTCCTAAGCAACATTTTTCAAAAATATCACTTATTCCCATCCGCACGACTGTACCTAATCCAGTTAATTCGAAGAATTCCGTCTCCTCTCCATTAAGACTGATTTCTTAATTACAGCTTCTCAAACCCCTCTTCCCCCAAAAAAGAGAATTCATCGACTTCGCTCATTAAAACACCAATAATAACAGAAGGAATCGGGTTCCGATCTTGACCATCTCCGCCACCACTCGCCCTTCGCCATTACACCCCGAAGCGGTCTGGTTAGAAAGGTGAACTAGTTTGCTCTTCACGCACTTGTCCATCACTGTCACCCTCCCTAACCCCGTCCACACTCCCAAGACGGCCACCAACTCCGCCTCAGACTGAGCCAGGCCCGCCACCTGTGCCGGCCGCACCCGGGGTCCCCGGGCCCTCCCCGCCGCCCTCAGTCGGCCCTCCGGCGCCGCACGCCCCCTCTCTACCGAGCCCCTCTCCGCCGGCCCGGCCCGGCCCGGCCGCAGCCCATTCTTCCTCCAAACTCCATAAGCCTCCTCCGCTCGCCTAGCCCAGCTCCCCGCCGCGCCCGACTCGCGCTGGGCGGCCGAGGAGAAGAGGCCGGGCGGCTGGGGCGGGTCCCGACGTGCCGGGCCCGCGACGCCTCTCGCCCGGCCGAGAAGCTGCCCCCGCGGCCGGCACCCTGAGAGCCCTCGGAAGCCCCCGGGCGACCCGGGCCCGGGAGGCCGGGGCAGCGGGCGCCGGGGCCTACTCACCAGGAGCAGGCGGGGCGTGGTAGCCGGCGCGCCCCGGGCCTGAGGAGCAGGACGCGGCCCCGGCGCGCGTCCCTACCCCGGGACCTCGCTCGGCGCGGCGAGCTGGGCGCTCACTCCAGCCGCCGCCGCCGCCGCCGCTGCTGCTTCGCCACCTTGGCCGCCATCTTGACTCAACCCCTCTCCCTCCCCCAGCCCCGGCGGCCGCGGCTAAGGCGGCTCCGGCGCCGGCTCCTCCTCCTTCCGGAGAGTTGGGAGACCGACTCCCTCCGCTGGCCGAGCGTGGCTCCTACCTCGGCCGAGTTTCCTGGGTGGCCTCGCGCCTGGTCCCCTCACGTCTGCCCTCGGCCTGGCGGCGGTCCCCTCCACCGGAGACGGGCCGGGGCGGCGCCGTGCCCGGCCGGACCCGGCGCGCTGCCATCGCGCACCCGGGCGCGGCGCCCGCCGCGAGCCGGCCGGCCCCCGCGCGCTTGTGGCCTTCCCCCGGGCGTGGGAAAGGGAAGGACGCAAGGCCATGCCGCGGGACCCGGGCTTCGGGGAGGGCAGCCGGGTCCCCACGTGCTGGGCGCCGGAGGGGTGCACGTCGACCCACCCAAGCTATTTCCCGGGGCTCCGTCTGTAATTCGCACCAAGACGTCACTGACATGCCGGGCGAAGCCGGTTTGTCCCTGATGTAGGTCCTTAGTCTAAAGTCACTTGTCAGAGGAGCCTGTGGCCCTCGCGACTACGAAGTGCACTCTCAGCCTTGCTCTTCTAGGAAAATGACTGGACGGTTTCTCGTAACTGCATGCTTTTCCTTTAGCGAACCCGCCACTCCACATCCCAAAATGAGAAGGAAAACCAAGTAGGTGTATCATATAGATAAGGGGCTGTATAACTATAAAATTACGAGAAAGTCCCGGGTTTTAAGAAGTGAGTTACAAAATGGTGAACCGGAGAGAGCAGGGAACTCGTAATACTACAAGACGTGGGAGTTTATTGTGAAACACTGCCTTCTAAACCCACTGTACTGTAAGAAAAGACCAGGGCAAAAAAAGCTGGATGGCACCGAGGCACAAGACTTCGTAAATGCTGCATAAAGTGGACAGAACTCGACAGAGAAGTGTCGGGAGGCGTCAGTGTAAACCCCAACAGGAACCCCCTCAAGCCATTGGAGCAGGTCACAAGGACGAGCTTAAACTCGGAACGCAATTTCCGCGAGTGCCGTTTTCCCGCCGGAGCCAGGCTCAGCGGCAGCCTTCCCTATTGCGCAGGCGCAGTGCCAGTTGCCGACCATGGAAGTGGTGGGTCTTTTGTGTTTGGCGGCGGCGGTCTTAGCTTGGGGCTTCCTGTGGGTTTGGGACTCCTCGGAACGAATGAAGAGTCAGGAGCAGGCTGGCCTGCTGGGAGGCGGAAGCCGGAGCCTCCTGGTGATCGCGCACCCAGACGATGAAGCCATGTTCTTTGCTCCCACCGTGCTAGGCTTGGCCCGCCTGAGACACCGGGTGTCCCTTCTCTGCTTCTCTGCAGGTAGGAGGCGGTAGGCGGGGCGTTGGGAGCTGGGGCTGTGAGGGGATGTAGGTGCTAACCTAAGTCGACTTCTTCCCGGACTGTTCTCTGACGTAGGCGGCTAAGTGAGCGCTACCCGGAAGGTGCCTTCTCTGGGCGCTTCACGGAATTTCGGTGGTCCTAGCCTGAGGACAGTAGCGGCAGCTCCCGGGGAGGGCTGGGGACGTCCGCACTCTGCCTCCTCTACTCTCTGCTAGCAGCATTGAGGAGCACAAGCGAGCTGCTCACATTTGGTCTGGATTTCCGTTGGAAACTGCGGCTGGACTCATTATTCTGTGGGACCTTTGTATTTGGAGAAGGACCAAGAATAATGATCTTACCATGGTCCACCAAACAGAATCTGTGCTGTATCGTGCCTGCTCAACCCTTAAAGTTTTACTTCTAACGATAGGAAAGGACCTTCCTGCTGCTTTTGAAATCCATTTTGTGCATCAAGACAGACTCAGATCATTAGACTAAAAAGTGATTATAGGTAGTTTTAGAGTTCAACTCCGCCCAGCTTTCAGTGAAGGGGCCTTTCAAAGAATAAGTCCTCCCAGAGAAGATAAGATGAGAAAACAAAAATTGACCGTGATACTGTATAATGTTAATAATTGCACAACTGTATAAATGAAGTAATTAAACTGTACTTATACAAGGGGAGAATTCTATGGTATGTAAAATTATACTTCAATAAAGCTGTTTTTACAAATGCCCATGACCTCTTTTCCCATTTGGTTGTGTCGTTCCACTTCTTTTTCTATACAGATTTTTCACAGAAATCACATTTTGTACAATTTTTTTCACTTAACATTATTTTTTTCACTTAACATTATTTTTTTCATTTATTTAGCAAATATTTATTTAAAATTTATGTGCACTGCACACCTATTAGAATGACCCAAATCCGGAACAGTGACAACACCAAATCCTGGTGAGGATACGGAGCAACAGAAACTCTCATTGGTAGTGGGAATACAAAATGACACAGCCACTTTGAAAGGCAGGCAGTTTGGCAGTTTCTTAAAAAACTAGACATACTCCTACCATACATCCAGCCATCACATTCCTTGGTAATTACCCAAAGGAGTTGAAAACTTATATGCACATAAAAACCTGCGCACACCTGTTTACAGCAGTTTTCTGCATAATTGACGAAACTTGGAAGCAAGCAATTCAGTAGGTGAATGGATAAATTGTGGTATATCTAGCTAATGGAATATTATTAAATGCTAAAAAAATGAGCTATCAAGCCATGAAAAGGCATAGAGGAACTTTAAATACATATTACTAAGTGGAAGAAGCCATTCTGAAAGGCTGCACACTGTATGGTTCCAGCTGTACGACATTCTGGAAAAGGCACAACTGTGGAAATAGTAAAAAGATCAGGGGAAGGGGGTGGGAGAGGAATGAATAGGTGGAACACAGGATTTTTAGGGCAGTGAAAATATTCTATCGTATTATAATGATGAATATATGTCATTATACATTTGTCCAAACCCATAGCATGTATAACACTAAGAGTGAATCCTAATGTCACCTATAGCTTTTGAGTTGTTATATAGGTTTGGGTGTCAATGTTGGTTCATCAAGTGTAACAAACATACCATTCTGGTGGGGGATGTTGATAATGGGGAAGGCTGTGCATGTATGGGCGCAGGAAGTATATGAGAAATCTCTGTACCTTTCCCTCAATTTTGCTGTCAATATAAAACTGCTTTTAAAAAAGTCTTAATAAAAAAGACTTAATTAAGAAAGTATATATGGTAGGCCTTATTCTATGCCCTGAGGATTAAACATTAAAAACGGGGGCCAGCCCGGTCTCCTAGTGGTTAAGGTCAACACACTCTGCTTCAGTGGCCCAGGCCTGGTTCTCTGGCCCGGACCTACACCACTGATCCATCAGTACCCATGCTGTGACAGTGGCTCACGTACAAAATAGAGGAAGATTGGCAACAGATGTTAATTCAGGGGGGATCTTCCTTAGCTAAAAAATACAAAAACAATAAAAACGAGCAAGGTAAGGACTGTGTACTTGTGAAACTTCTAATTTAAACATTTGCCCATGTTAATAAGAATTTAATATATAGCCTTTTAAGTGATTTCATAGAGATAAACCTTAATTTAGTTCATCATCCTTTATGTATATTTAGTGGCTTTTTTCCAGTTTATCTCTATTGCAAATAACAGTGAACATCTATGTATTTCATATTATGTCATTAGGACTGATTTCTAAAATCGGCTCTTTTAAAGCTTTGCATGCATATTGCAGTTCCCAAAAACATACCAATTTACACTCGCTGACAGAGTATCTGTCTTAATAAAGCACTATCTCTAGCATTGATTAATGATTTTAGTGACATTTCTTGATTTAATATTATTTTTTTCCTTTAAAATCCTTTGTTGCCACTCATCTTAAACCATTTTTCATATATATTGCAAATTTGGATCTAAGCACTTCTCAGTCTTCCCTATTAAGGATATTAATTGTAAACAGATGCTAGTAATAGCCTTGTGTTTTTTTTGTTTGCTTTTTATTTTACCTATATTTTATACTACAACTGTGGGAGTCAGATTATAAGCAAGTTTGTTTCAAGATCTGCAAGAGAAACCTGGATTTTATTTGCAAAGTATCATAGGTGCAGTAAATTCTTTAATAAGTTTTTCCTTATTTTTCAGTAGGTTGCGATCAGAAATCAAAATTGTTTTCAAATAAAAAATATAAAGCATGCCCTTGTCGCATATTAAACACTCAGTACCTTTATTGTTGTGTTTCATTATTTCTTCTGAATCCAACTTGCTGCTTAAATTGTTCTCTCTTGTAATTCTTAAAGTTACTTTTAAAATCCCCAACTCAATCAAAAATATATGTATTAAATATTCCCCACACTCCTGACTTCACATTCTAACATGAAAAACGGGAAGCTAATAATTGGTAATATAATATAATGAAAGCTGTAATTGTGTAGTGGAGGAAGTACTATGTACACAAAATGGAGAAAAGCGTGAATTCTCTTTTTGGGGGTTCGGATTAAGGAAACTTCTCCAAAGAGATTTTCTTTTGAGCTGGGCTTTAAAAATAGCAGTTGGTAAAAAAATGCACATATCCTTTGACCTAACAGTTTCATGTCTAGTAATTCATCCTACAGATATATTTGCAAGTGAGTAAAATGACATACGGATAAAAAAAATAGGAGTAGGAATATAGGAAGTGGAGCAAGTCATTCTAGACATTAGTTAAAGCGTCAGTAAGTCTTGGACTTTATGAATAATTCATTCTAACTACATCTCCAGTTTTAAGGGGCAGGGAGAAGCATGAAAAAATATATATATTTTGTTATTGGTGGCTTATTTAATCCTTTCAGCAATCCCATGATAGGCACTATTAAATATATAACTTAAATATGTAATTTGCTATTGCCATTTTACAAATATGGAAACTGAATCACAAAGAAGTTAAGTAACTTGACCAAAGTGACCAGCTAGAATGTAGAGAAGCCAGGTCCCTGTGGCTCTGCCCTTTCTCAACAATTACACCCAATCTGCCTCCCAGATTGCCTTGTATGCTAAGTCAGTTAATTAAGGAAATACCTATTTTGATCCCCAGGGTATGTTCCAAGAACCACTAGTTCATCAAGCTGATATTTTAAAAAAATGCCTTGGCCTGACAAGTTTGGGGA